TCACGGCATTGTTCAGCTTGAGGAGCGATTGTGTCCCAGATTTCCTCATCACAGTTATCCGTATCACACATTGTGGCAGCCATCTGCACTTCATCTACAAATGGTTCATAATGCTGAATGGTTTTCTCGATTGCTTTCATGTGGTTGGTGAACTTCTCTTCAAAACTTCCCTCATTCTCTAACTCATCCTCATGCCTCCATGGAAGGTAGAGCAACAGCAGCCTGTGGTAATACTTCTCAGAATCCTTCTCACGAGACACAGGATAATCTCTCAGGATTACTGGTTTTTTACGCTTCTTCATTGTTCCTAATCCATTTTTAAGTTTTATTGTCTTGGATGTGGATTGTTCTGTGTTACATTCTATCTCATCAAGAGTTTCAACTGTAGTGCAGGATTTGCTAGCTGTCATGTAGTTAGCTGCAAATTCAGCTAGACATATCTCCTCAAGGTTATTAGGTCGTGCAGAGTATTTATCTGTGATGTTCGGCTGATAAATATCAGTATCTTCATCATTCAACTTCTCCAAAACCTGTGGTGGTTTCAGAAGTCTTGTACGCTGATGACTGTATCCAGTGGGGACAAACAATACGGGGGTATTTGTTTCTCTTAGTGGAAGTCCGAGCAAACGTGCAATAGCTTCGTGCTGTGAGACTTCTCTGCTTTTTAAGAACGTACTGCCAATCCTTTTTAGTTTGTCTTTCACATTGTTTGCTTCTTTGCAAGCATTTCTCATAAGGTCTGACATAGTGCGTTCTGGCTTACACATGTATGAAGTAATGTAAGCAACACAGGCCCACACATCAGTTATAAACTGGATATCCATGTTTGCCCTTAATGCTGAAAGGATAACAGAGTTATATGGATTCACGTGACTTTCTGAAGGGGTTCTTTTCAGGATGATGGATGTCCTTTTCAAAGAAGACTTGATAGCTTGCATATAGTCCTGCTTGTTGATGTTTGCAGCTGTCAGGAGCTCTGTCAGGGTTACATCAGTGCCAGTTATCTCAAGTGTTTCCATCACAGCATTGAGGATCTGTCTAGCATTATCCAACTCACGCCTAGCTAGCTCTCCAGTAGGTTGCCGTGCTATAACAGTTGTTTCCGAAGGAGGTTTAGGAAAGTGGAACCGACAATTAAGTCCTTTCTTTTTCTTACAGGTTCTGGTATGGTGATGTGTCTGACGTGAGAGAACTAGGTCCTTTAATATATCATTTTCAGTTGGTATTGAGCATGTTATGTACTTGTTAACAAAAGTAATAACAACATCATCACTGTCTTTGTCTAATACAGGTGCATCTTTAACATGAATGGCGGAATGGAAGTGAGCAGTGCCACGGCTCTGCATTTCTTTCCTGATGTCATAATTCAAAATCTGACCTATTGGATGAACACCAGACAAAATGACATTTCCCCACAATTTTCTGAAGATAAAGTCGATGTGTCTGGCAACAGTAACAGGATTTCGAGCAAGCCAGTTGCGTTTGGTCTTCTTGTCCATGTGATTTTCTACGTAGTCAAGACTGTAGTGTTCTCCATACTGTTTTGCCACAATTCTGATAAGTTCTGGCCAATGAAAATCAGCGGCTGACCCAGACAGGAAAAATGTGTATGTACCAAAATGCCTAATTTTGGCCAACATATTTTGTTGCATCTCTTTCCAATATTGTGGTGTGCCTCGGATCTTCTTGAAAGAAGCAAATATTTCTTCATCTTTAAATAATGTATGCACTCTCTGTGGATCCTGTAGCTGGCGAACAGTAACTGGTGACTGTCTAGACTTTTTAAGTGATATATTAATACTGTCAGACACTGTAGTAGACTCAATCCAATGGAGACATTGGAAAGTGTACTCAGGACTTTCTGCAAAGCGACAATCTTTTGACAGTAACCTTGATATAACATATTTCTTTGGGGTTATCTTAATTTGCCTGTCTTCATGAAATGAACCTTTACCTGAAGGAAACAGTGTTGGAAATGCCAATGTCTCCCAATGATCCTGATAAAACACAGACACTGGGACCTGACCTTCACCGGGTGCTAGATTCAGTATTTTATTTCCTGGCACAGCTGGTCCAAATTCTGGATACAAACATGTTGTAGAGTCCAGTGATCTCTTAAAACTTAGATCTTCAACGATTTCTAGTGGATTGTCATTGTCTACCTCATCTTCAGAGTCTATTATTTCACCAGAATTTTCATCTGTATTTGTTTTGGGATCTGACGTCTGTCTTATTTCAACTTCATTCTGAATATCTTCCTCTGAATCACTTTTACCTGAAATGTTAGTGGTTTGTGAAACAGTATTCCAAAACATTTCATCATTGCTTTTACTTTCGTCAGTCCAGTTTTCATTCACAGATACAGTAGAATAATGTGAGTTGTTTTTTGTTAAAAAATCAATTGCATTATTAACAGCATGTGGACGAATGTACTGCCTGACTGACCCATACTTGTCTGACAGTCGCCTCTTCAATGATAATGCCACAACTTGTGTTTCACCAGTCTGACGTGGGAGTGCTGTAGCAGTTTTCTGTAAGTTGGACGGTACCAGTACAACCTGTCCTTTGAAGCCATGTTGAGAGCCTGCTGGGAGTGATAGTATTTTCATGAATGGTATTATCTTGCTTATAAGTTGTTTCTCTAGATTGTGCAAATTTTTCAATGGAAGTGGTACTGGTTCAACATCTAAGTGATTTGAGACAGCTTGACACGGCAATTTATTTTTCTGAATACTTGTCGAACAAGTGTCACATATCCAGGAAATTTCTGACTCATTTAACTGCAAAGAAAAGTTAGGTATTTTTGTTGAGTTCTGGTTTAATGTACTTGAAAGCCGTTTAACTGCAGATCGATACAAAAACCTGTTGCAACAGCAACACACATAGGTAGGTCCATCAGATATAGCATGAAAAAAACTCTGTAACATATGATTTAATTCATCTTTTGACAAGTCACTTGTGCTTCTTTTTGATATATTTGACTGTTTTTCTCTTAAACTGTGTCTTTTATTATTTTGCCTTAGCTTATCAGTTTCTCTTGAAACTTCCTTAACATGTTCAGACTGGCTCAGTCTTCTCTTTTTATGTGATATCCTATCTTTTTCTCGATTAATTTCTTTCTGTTCTTCGCATTCCATCTTTCGCTTTCTTTTTTTCCTGCAACTTTCTAAGGAACTTGAAATTTGCTTTTCTTTCTTACTTTGACACTCTCTCGCTATTTTATGAGCTATCTTATCTTTCAGACGATTTGCTTCTTTATCTTTTACACTTTGACACTCTCTTGTTATTTTATGAGCTATCTTATTTTTCAGACGATTTGCTTCTTTTTCTTTTTCACTTTTAGAATTCCTAAATACTTTATGTGCTTTTCTGTCTTTTAAACAAACTGCCTGTTTCTTTTGTTCACTTTGATAGTCTCTTGCTATTTTATGAGCTACCTTATTTTTCAGACGATTTGCTTCTTTATCTTTTACACTTTGACACTCTCTTCTTATTTTATGAGCTATTTTATTTTTCAGACGATTTGCTTCTTTATCTTTTACACTTTGACACTCTCTTCTTATTTTATGAGCTATTTTATTTTTCAGACGATTTGCTTCTTTTTCTTTTACACTTTGACACTCTCTTGTTATTTTATGAGCTATCTTATCTTTCAGACGATTTGCTTCTTTTTCTTTTACACTTTGACACTCTCTTGTTATTTTATGAGCTATCTTATTTTTCAGACGATTTGCTTCTTTTTCTTTTTCTGTTTTAGAATTTCTCAATTCTTTATGTGCTTTTCTGTCTTTTAAACAAACTGCCTGTTTCTTTTGTTCACTTTGATTGTCTCTAGAAAGTTTTTTGGCTTGTGAATGTTTTAAACGATCTGATTTTTTTTCTTGATCACTTCTTGAGTCTCTGAATACCTTTTTTGTACTTGAATTAATGTTTCTCAGTATTTGTTTCTCTTCAGTAGTTTTTAAAGAGCGAAGTTTTTGCTGTTGAAGTCTATTTATTTCACGATTGTTTTGTTTTTCAATATTTGTTAATTTGCTTCTTTCATTAATTTTACGGTCTTTGTCTTTTTCAGTTGTCACATTTCTTTCACTGTCAGCCATTTTTTTCCGTTTCAGTTTTTTCCTAGCACTATCTTTGTTTCTTATTTCCTGTTTCTGTAAACTAGTCATATTTTTACGTTCTTTGTGTTTTCTTTCTTTGTCCTTCAAACGCCTTTCATCTTTAAAGAAATTCTTTGGACTAATTTTAGCTGTTTGTCTTTGGTTTCGATTTTTCTGTAATTTTAAGTTGTACTTTTCTCTTTTAGTTAGTTTCTTTAAAACACTCTTTTTGTTCTGATAAGTGAAATATTTTTCAATCAAACTTTCACCAGATTCCTTATTAGGAGCATTTTGAACTGAAGATTTACTTAGTAAACCTGAGCTTTCTTTCTTCTTCACAGAATCTGAATTATCACTTGGAAATGATGTTACTTCACCATTGATTAAACAGGACCTCAAATGACTTCTCATCTGATCAATACAAAAGTTTCCATAGGGGACTGATCTGTTTAAGAGCACACAATATGTATTAGCTACAGAAAAATATCCACACAGATTTGTACTTCCTTGTGATTGTGGGCTTATGTATCTAAGAGATCTCACAGCGGATTCTGTATATAGTAATTTCAATTGAGGCATAACAAAAGCAAGGTGTTGCTGGTGGTACAAACTGTCTATAACATACAATGTTCCATTGATTTGTGCAGACATTAGGTAATGTCCAGGATACACATGTATTTGGACAGCAAATTCATAACTTGGTATATTCTGATAGTGTTTGTGTTCTCTCGCTAAAGCATATAAATGTGTTGGTGCTAGCAGTCCACTTACACCAGGGAACTGTATACGTAAAAGCTGGGTGATATAATCAGCAACCCCTGATTCCAGGTCTCCATTCAGGACACTGTCTGGATCTATACCTTGGTATGATAAATGCTGATTTTCTTCGGTCTGAAATTGGAAAATGCATTTGTTTAAGAGTTTTGGTCAGAATACAATGATATCATAGTTTGTGACTACTTCTATATTTTATGCAATATGAATCACTTGTACAACTCTCAGTTTTTATAGTGGAGGGTACACCAATGTGCTCATGCACATTCTTTTTCAGCAATACAATGGTAGATAGTTGTATGGACCACTGACATTCTATAAGGGATTCCTCACAAGCTGTAACTGGGATTTAAACCCACACAACTAAAGAAGAAATGGTCACATATTTGTGACTTAAATATGCTTCCACAAAGACCGCACAATATCATATACCATTATTATAGCAGAATGCCAGAGACACTAACTTATAAGTGAATTCAGTAAACAAAAAGTAATATTTAACTTACATTCATATTGAAGTAACAGTCTAATAAGCACAGATGAATTCAGGAATGTGATTACCAGCTGGAGTTGTCAGTCTGAAATGTTTATTTCAAAATTATTAATAACATTTATAATCACAAATGGGGAGACGATCAAGAAATGTCTCCCCAGGAAGGAACCAGTCTCAGCTTATAATACAAAATTTTATAAAAATGATTTTAACTTATGTAAGGGTTTAATTATTTAAATTCAAAATAATTAATAAAAAAAATAATTTTTGTTTTTAAAATTTAATGAAGTTTTCTTTTGACCTGATAAAAAAAAGAAACTAAGTTTTTTTGGGAAAATGGGTTCCTTAAATTTAAAGATTTTTCACATAAAATTTTCTGAAACAATAATAAAACCTTTTTATTCATTTTTGGGAGTAAAAATGTTTCTTTTTAACTTGAAATATTTTTATTTTAAAGAAAGTTAAATAATTTAGTTTTAAAACCCCCGGAAAAAAAGAAAAACAGGCTAAATATAGATTTAATTTATTCATATTTTCAAGACTTCATGTCAAGCCAGCAATTAACAATGCAATGACAATTTGATCTTTAGAAACTTTTGTATAAAACAAGAGCTGATCATAAGAGAGCTTGCTCAACTATTGTTAGTTCTTGACATTATAAAAGTCGTACTATGTTGATATATGGACATACTCATGTAAACTAGCAAAAAAGAGTTAAGGGACCTGTGCCTCTGATGTTACATAATGAAAGTGAACAAGTGTCTGAAGTTGCAATTCATATGTTTTGTTAGTTTTTGAGAAACTAACTTGCATGCAAAAACTTTACCACAAAGTGACTGTAACGCAAGATTTCACATTACAAAACATGAAGCACAATAAAAGATAATCATACAAATATTAGAAATGATCACATGAAATAAATGCACACAGAGTTTCAAGGACAGGCATACTACTGCAAATTCAAATAATATCATCTGGTACTTGTAGCATACACATGGTAACAACACAATATACTATTATGATGATGTGTAATATACCAGAACAGGTCGCAGTGTTTTTTTTTTCTTTATATAACTGCTACCCTAAAAACGGTACTGTTCCCAATAGAAAATAAAAAAATTCAAAAATTAAAAGGGTTTTAACCCAAAAATTGTTCAAAATTTTTTTTTAAAAAATTTTTAATATTTAAAAAAAAAAAAATTTAAAAAACATAAAAACAAAAATTTAAACTCAAGGGATTTTTGGGAAGTGGAAAAAGTTTAAATTAAACTATCCTTTTTCAGAAAATTGGTTTTTTTTTTACTGAAAAAATTTTATTTAAAAAATTTTTAAAATTTAAAATTTTAATTTTTAAAAAAATTTTTTTTTTTCCCCAGTCTTTTTTTTACGGGGCCCAAACTTCCCAATTTTTAAGAAAAAAAAACAGGCGTTTTTATACAAAACTAAACAGCTGTTAAATTTTAAAATAGGATTTTAATTTTGGAAAATCTTTTAAACTCCTATATAATTGTAATTTGGCAATAAATAAAAAAAATTTAAATTAACTGTCAGGATAATTCAATAATGAAAAGGGTTTCAATAAATTCCAATGTTTTTTCAAGAATTATTTATGATATTTTTATCTTTCATATTCATAAATTATTGAAGGTGATTCACACTGACTCCTGCCACTTTAACTACTTGAAGATAAAGTTGTCTGAAGCCAGTAAACAACATCCTGCTGGAAAGAAAGAAGACCCTCACCCATACACTATAAATACACTATAAACCATGCTGAGTGCTACAGTGTTACATACATACAACACAAGTGTCAAGATAGTAAAGACAGCATTCTATGCAATCAAGGAGAAAGGGAAGAGAGCCGAGTGCCTATTAATTTAGTTTATACCAGAATACCTGTTTCCGGTGCCACCACTTGGAGGCGTGACTTCACTGTACTGTTTCAACTGTTACTGGCAAATTTCCTTTATGGTTGGAAATCATTTAAAATAAAATACAAATAAAAAATACAAACAAGTAATAATTGCTGAGTTTAACATTCCAGGGCTCACGCTGTCGGTCGCCATAGTCGACATTTGCGATTATTTTATAAGATTGGCGATTATTTTTGCATTTTGGCTACAAAATCTGGCGATTATTTTTTACTTCCAACAGTGTTTATATAAGGTGTAAAAATCGATAAACAATGCAGCAGACCCAATTAACACCAGCGGGGTGGATTTAATTGAGTGTCAACTTTTTATCGGTCACGCGTTGTTATAAATATTGCCCGAGGTAATAAAAATACATACGAGATGTAATACTGTATAAGTACTTTAAAGATATTGTCCAGCATTAAAATAGCCATCAAATATCTGTCAATTAGCCAAAAAATCGTCTTAAAATTGATAAACTGGATATTGACCAACCCAAAATTTACCGTAAATTGCAGTGGTGGCAAATTTTGATTTTTTTGTTTTAAGCTGCTTGACTAAATCGCCAGTGGAAAACAATGATAAAATATTTAAAAAGTATCTACTTCCAAACAACTATTTGCACAACAACCAAAATTGTGAATATTTCTTCAGAAAACAGGAAAAAATCCGAGTGTCACATATTTTCGCGACACCGATAATTTTTATATTTATTTAAAGGTGAAAATAAGCTATGTAATGTTTAAAAAATTTTACTATTATGACAGAAAATTTGTATTGCATTGGTGATGATGACATTTTTCTGTAAGTTATTCAGAAAAAAAGGCTGCATTCTGTGAATAAGTTTACAAGTGTTATTTCTATCTATTGGCTAATATGACCTAAATCTACTCCAGTTCTGTGTGAAATGTTGAATTACAACTGACAAAATTTGATAAGAACAAACAAAAGAAATTGTCTGATAATAGCATTATTTAAAGTTATAATGAATCTTTATTATTATTGTTATACAGTAATTATACTACATAACATTTTTATTCTGTTTTATAATAACAATTAAAGTTGTTGTTGTATGTAAAAAAGGTAGTTATCAATAAATTACATACACAAATGTATCAGTTTATTTGAGAATCCTTATAAAACTGAAAAAGTTTTATATGTAATGTTTATTTAATCAACTGCATATCGCTAAATCGTGAATGAGTCCGCTGAACTTTTGGCTATTATTTTTTTTAAGTTTAAAATATTGGCTATTATTTTATTTGAGCCAGTGTGAGCCCTGCATTCACTATATTTCCAGTAATTCTAAATTATGGTTTCCTATTTCATCCAATAAAGTTTTCAAGTAGCACACAATAATAATTAGTTTTAAAGGCTAAATTCAAAACTGAAATTATTATTGTAGAGTATAAGGTGTAGAGACCGGAGAAAGTTAATAACTGCCAAATTTTCCTTATATTTTTAATTTCATGCTAAATATTGCAAGTATTAAATTTATGTTTAGAGAATTATTGAGTGCTACTAGCAAAATTGTGTGGCTGAAATAGGACACCGTACCAAAAAGGCAAGAAATTCAACAGTGACAGATGAATCAGCACAAGCAGCACCATATTTAGGAAAGGGTCAAGCATACTACATGTAGAAAGTTAAAAGACAAAAAATCCATACTAGAAAGTGAGAAGGCAATTTATAGATGCAAGCACTACTTATTAATTCTTACCTGTCATAGAAAAGTGTAACTGAAGCTTAAATTCCCATCATCCAGGTTTTGTAGATTAAAAATGAAATTCACACGATCCAAAATTCACATGATCCAAAATTATCACGGATCCAAAATTCACATGATCCAAAATTATCACGAAGAGAAAGATGAAAAAATTTCACATAATTTTAATAATAAGTTTCATTAGAATATATTTTGATGAAATTATAATTGGGTTCAAATATATTGCAATTTTGCCATATTTTAAGTCTACTTTTGCCATAGCAACCAAATTTTTCAACATAGAAATAAAACAAAATGTGTATAATATCCAAATTGCTATCAACATAAAAGAAGAAAAAAGATGTGTATAATAGGGACAGACGGACAGAGGGTAAGCCTTAAGTACTATCAACTTAAACTGGTAGGACTATTTAATAACTTATATTGACAAAGATTTCACTACTAGTACATAACAAAAATTTTAATCAGAAATCTGGATGCTGTCACAAGAATGAGTAGGACAGCTCTCAATTATCAGGGTTTTTTTACTAACTAATAAATTAACACTGATAGTCGCCGTCTTCCCTCGGTAAATAGCCAATATTTTTCCTCGAAAAAATTCTATTTTTTCCCTTTAAACTGGATCAGATTAAATATTAATATGGTGTAAATATATAATTTCTCCATTAAATCAAGGATAACCCACCAATTGTAGTCCAAAACATGTCCAAAACAACCAAAACATTGCAGGAAACTGCAAGAAGTGTGCCAACATGGAGGCTGCCATTTTTTTTTCTTGGCTATATCCCGTACTGAACGGTACTATTTCTGGAAATCAGTTGCTATCAAAATATTGTCGTTTTCTTGGGTAAACTATTTTATATTTCTTATTATGTAAATGACTTATGGAGCTAAAGTGTGTTTACACTATTATACCTATACCAGAAATATTTGCAGTACTTTTTGAGTTATCACAAATATTCTTATATTTCCCATATTTTAAGTCAATTTGTTGCAATGGCAACAAATCTTTCAAGAAAAGGAAGAAAAGGAAAAGACATGCATAATCTCCAGGCAGCCATCTACCCATATTTCAAGATTGTTAGAAATATTTTCATTACTTTTGCTGTTATCACTGGATCCAGTTTATGTGTAAATTAGCCATATTTTCAGTGTATTTGTTGCCATAGCAACCAAAGTTTTAAAC